CACATCACTGAGGACAATGTCCCTGGACCCCATGGACGTGTGTGTGTGTGTGTGTGTGTGTGTGTGTGTGCATACATGTGAAGTCTAGAGGTGTCTTCCTCTATCACTCTCCACATTTGTTTCTGTTCGAGGGTCCCTCACTAAGCCTGAAGTTTATTAATTCAAGACTCACGGTTCGGCGAGCCCATGGATTGTACCTACCTCGGTCTTACCAGTGCTAGGATTTCAGTTTTTTTGTCTTACATGTATGAGTGTACACACAAATATAGCAGTTCCCTCAGAAGCCAAAAGAGGGAATCTGATCTCCTGGGGTTACAAACAGTTGTGAGCCACCATGTGGTGCTGGGAACTGAATCAGTGTCTGAGCCATCTCTCCAGACCTCCTGTGCCCAGCTTTTACACGGTGCTGGGTCGGGTCACAGGTCCTAGCAGTTTATGGACTGAGCCGTGCCCCCAGGCCACGTGCTTACTGTCTCAGACGCCACGCATAGGATGAAGTCTGCCTTTGCACCCTGAGCTGTCACTGGCGGGTCTGAGCGGCCAACACTGCCCTGGTACTGCGGGGCATCAGGAAGTCAAATAAGGGGCACTTGAACTCAAGTACGGGGACGCTGAAGCAGAGGAGCTACTGTTGGAGAGTCCCAGGGGCCAGCAGAGAGGCCACACACACAGCCTGGAGAGACTAGGCACTGGGTGACTCCAGTCCTGGGAGATAGGAGGAGGAGATCGAATCCCGCAGAGGGCTTGGCAAGTTCAAATTCACAGATTGTTTCCTGGACTTTTCAACTTGTATTTCCAGACCAAATTTAACCAGGTAGGGTGGGAATTGCTGGATATTATTACTCAAGTGTAGATGACTTTTCAGGGCCTCTTTCTACAAAAGCAAAGAAAGCAATGGGGCCCAAGAGAAGAGAAGGAGCAAATTTTGGGGGTTGTTTTTTTATTATTATTTGTTTTGTTTTTAGAAAAGTTCTCACTGTGTAGCCCTGTCTGATCTAGACCAGATCAGCCTCTGACTTGCAGCAATCCTCCTGCCTCTGCCTCTTAAATGCTTGGATTGCAGGCATGAGCCACCACACCTGGCTGCACGTGATTCTAGAGACACCGAATCCCTCCTTGTGACTCCTGCATTGATTACATAACTGCCTTCTTCATTTCCAGAAGACTGTCCGTGTGTGTGTGTGTGTGTGTGTGTGTGTGTCCGTGTGTGTGTCCCCGTGTGTGTGTGTCCGTGTGTGTGTGTCCGTGTGTGTGTCCGTGTGTCCGTGTGTGTGTGAGTGTGTCCGTGTGTGTGTGAGTGTGTCCGTGTGTGTGTCCGTGTGTGTGTCCGTGAGTGTGTGTGAGTGTGAGTGTGTGTGTGTGTGTGTGTGTGTGTTCTTGCCTGCCCTCCAAATCTGAAAAGTTCCCAACAGTTCGGGGCCAGGAAGCCCACATCCCCCAGGGGTCCCACTCACCAACAGCTTGGCTGGGGTGGGGGCGGGGAGAGCGGGCCCCTCCTCTCCCTTCCCCGGAGTTCTCCAGAGCCCGCTCCCTGCCACCCTGAGAAGCCTGTGAGCCTGGCAAGCTCAGTTCTCCCCTAGCTCTGGGCTTTCTAGCACATTTTCCCGTTCCCTTCCCGTCTGCTTCCTGTGCCTGGGGCTGGGTCATGCTGGCTCCTCAGGGCATCCTGTGACTGACCATTTCCCAGCCCAGGAAGGCGAGGCTGAAATCACCTGCTCCCAGAGTCAGTGAGTGTGAGGCATCAGGCTTGGCACTCCTTCTGTTTAGGCCACCCCGCCCCCACTATCAGCCACAGTTTCCCTGTCTGTGAGGTGAGGGTGGGGAGCCCTCCTTTAAACTGGTTTTCCCCATGATGCCTTCCTGCCCAGGAGGCCCTGTGTCCACCCCTGACTGGGAAAGCAGCCTGAATCTGAGACCAGGGAAATCCCCTCCTCTGGTCCCCCCAGAAGAGGGGGCGTAGAGTTGGGAGGCAGAGGCCAGCAGGGTTACTGGGTGCTGTTCTGCCCACCACAGGGCCCAGCAGCCACCGCTAAAGGAAGAAGGCAGCTCCCTCCCTCTTCAGGCTCGGTTTCCTTTCCAGTCCTGTCATGTGCTCGTGCATGTGTGTGTGTGAGTGTGTGCACCTATGTGTGTGTGCGCACCTGTGGTGTACACCTGTGTGTCAGTGTGTGTGTCCGTGTGTGTGTCTGTGTGTGTGAGTGCATCTGTGTATGTTTCTGTATATGTGTGCACCTGTGGTATGTGCCTGTGTGTGTATGTCTGTGTGTGTGCCTGTGTGTGCATGTGTATCTGTGTGTGTCTGTGTGTGCCTATGTGTGTGTGTTCATGTGTATCTGTGTGTGTCTCTGTGTGTGTGCCTGTGTGTGTGAATGTGTGTCTGTGTGTGTGCATGTGTATCTGTGTGTGTCTGTGTGTATTTGTATGTGTGCCTGTGTGTGTGTCTGTGTGTGTGTCTGTGTGTGCGCTTGTGTCCATTTCTGTCTGTGTGTCTGTCTGTATGAATGTCTGTGCATGTATGTCTGTGTGTGTGCCTATGTGCATTTGTGTATCTGTGTCATTGTCCATGTGTGTGTCATTGAGTGTCCCTGTGTGTGTCTACGTTCATGCATGTGTGTGTGCCCGTGTGTGTGCGTGCACTCGCGCTCTGGTGTGTTTATTTTTCTAATTCCATCCACAGAGCCCTGCATTCCCATCCGGGCCTCCTGCCTCCTCCCACCTCCTCACTGGTGGCTGTCTCACGACAGACATTTTTAGTGGTGACAGCTGGCCTTGTGGAACTCGGCTGAGTACGGGAATGATTTTTTTTTTTAAAGAACGAGGCAAACCACGGCCACTTTAAATAGCTGCACTAGGAGGAAAGGCGAGGTGGGAAGGCGCGCGCCTGAGCTCCTCAGTGGAGGGGAAACCGAGGCCCGGATTGAGGGGGCAGATGACCCTGCTGGGCCACAGCTTCTGAGTGGCAGGGCTGGGACTCTAACCGGGCGTGAGCAGATCCCCTTGGGCCACCTTCCGGCTGAGCTCCCCTCCTCCTTCGCACAGCGGACTGATGCGGGGTCCCCAGGGCGGGGCTGCACTGTGGTCCTTTGCAGGACCAGGACGAGCCTAGACCCCAGGTGCCCGCCCGCCCTCGTGGCTGTTCCTCCCCCTCCCACAGACTCAGGTCCTGTCACTTCGGTCCCCTTTGACGCTGGGAGTGGTGACAGCTCCCCTCGCAGATGGTAACTCCGCATCCGCCTCGTTCCTTGGCAACAGAGGTAGACTCCAGCTTCTAGTGGAGCTACTCAGACCCGGGTTCAAGTCCTTCCTCTTCCACCTCGGAGCCTCCATCACTGCTCTGTGGAGCGGGAATCCGAGATGGGTGGGCGGGGCTGCAGGACGCACATGCTCAGTGCTGGAGTCACTTTGCTCTTGCTCGAGGCAAAAGCAGCAGGGGTGAGGGGGCGCCCCCGCCCCAGCCAGGCTACGTCTCTGGACCTGAGTCCCTTTGCCTGTGCCATTCCTTAAGAGGACCAGCACAAAGACGTGGAGCCAGTTAGGAGGGGTGGGGCACGGGAGGTCGGAGTAGGGGAGATGGGGGAGTGGTTCCTTGTTCTAGTGTCCTATGGGTCGCCACACTCCTACCCCCCACTGTGATTTAAGCACAAGTACCCCCAGCGTCCATCTCCCCCATGTGGTGCATCGTGGGTGTGGAATTAGGGAACTCACCCGCAACTGAGCATGATCTTCCATCTAGAGAAAAAGCAGTAGGAGCCCACCAGGAAGTGTGCACATAGCAAGACTTTCCCCATCCTGGATTACCCTCGTATAGCATGCACCTCTGTGTGCCTCCCGGGCAAGACCCCCCCCCCCCCGCGTGTCTCTAATCTTTGGAACATCCTAGGAACAGTATTCTTTTTTTAACTATCTCCCCATCTCAGCATAGATGATACCGAGGCTCAGAGAGGTAAATACACTTGCCCAAGGCCACATAGCAGTGAGTGTAGGATCCAGAATTCTGACCCAACTCTGACTCCAATCTGTACCCTGTTGTTAAGAGCTCCTGGGCCCTAGGGAAATGACTCAGTGTTTAAAGTGCTTGCCATGCAAGATCAAAGTTCAGATTCCCAAAATCCATGTAGATGCTGGGTAGGCCTAGCAGCCTGCCTGCTATTCCAGTGTCCAAAGATGGAGACAGGATTCCAAGAGCTCTGGGTTTGATTGAGAGACCCTCCCTCAATGAATAAAGTATGAAAGCCATCAACCTTGGGCCTCCAAATGTGCATGTGCACACACATGTGTGCCCACACACACGCAAACACATGTCTAACACACATACATTAAAATGAAAATTAAAAAAAGAAACCATAGCCCCACTCAAGAGACCCCATCTTCACTGGGCCAGAGAGAGCCTTCTTCACCGTGGGGAAGATTCTAGAGCTAAACAAGCTAGCATGTGCAGCAGAGAGCTCCCCGTGATCAGAGGAAGCCCAGGATGGCAGGAAGGGACTTTGAAGTCTCAGTGCTGAGGACTCTCCACCCTGTAATTCATACTCCAGGCTGGGCTGTGTACTCAGACAAGCTTGTGTGGTGAGCACTGTTAGCCAGGTCTAAGCTGCTATGCCAACACTGTGGAACCAACAGCCCGGCCAACCCATGGGCTCACTGCACTCTCCTCTTCCCAGAGGTCTGCAGCTACCTGGCATGACACTGCTCTATTCTGTGAGGTGCTCTACTAACTCCAGATCCCTTAATCGGGTGGAGGCCAGCCCCAGGAGCCTCCCCTTTGGGCCCCATCAGCTATCTGGGAGCATGTGACAGAAGCTCAGTCTATTCCTTAACCCAGCCAGGAGTGCTCTGAGCTGTGATGACACCTACCCATGATGCAGTGGGGCAAGGACAGGGTCTACCTGCTCCAACAGGACCCTGGGCTCATGTCTGTCATTCCAACACTCAGGAAATGAGGCTGGAGAGAGGGTATGCAGACCCAAAACCAGCTGGTGCACCCATAGCAAGACTGTTTAAATACAAGGGAGGGGGAGGGAGGACTCATTAATAACTACCCATATATCCACAAGAGGTCACAGTTGAGAGTCTGGGGCCCTGCACGGGGACACAGGTGGCTCAGAGTCTAATAGTTGCTCAGGGGGGCTGTTACTGAGGTTCTCGCCCAGTCACTTGACACAAAGCAGCTTTTTCCACAGTTATTACTGGGTGGTGGTGGGCACGCCTTTAATCCCAACACTATACTCGGGAGGCAGAGGCAGATAGATCTCTGTGAGTTCGAGGCCAGCCTGAAAACAAGAAAAGAAAAGTTCATTAAATGCACAGTTGGAATCCGCTGTCTGTCAACTATACCTCAAGGAAATTTATGTCCAAAAGAGAACTTCAGAGAAAAAAAAACAAAAAACAACAATAACAACAACAACAAAAAAACCCAATGTGTTGAAGGAATAAAGTAACACCTGGGCTGGCAGACTGCACTATCAGTCACAAAAGCATGGGGACCCGAGTTTGGGTTCCCAGCACGCACATAAAAAGCAGGGTGTAGTTAGTTAGTTAATTTGTCTTGCTGGGCACACACCAGCCACAGAGCACTTGTAGAGGCGAAAGGACAAGTCTCCAGGGTCGGTCCCCTCCTTCCATCAGTCCCTTGCACACCACGCCGTGTCACCACCCGTGAAAGACACAAGGCAGAGCAGCAGAGGACTTCAACCGGGTCCACAACCAAGGGCACAGGGCTGGGCTGGAGAGGACGCCCAGTCCACCAAGGATGCTGCCACTGGAGGCAAAGTCAAGGAAGAGCCTGACTTTCCCAACAAGCCCGTCTGGGAGAAAGCTGGGGAAGAAACAGTTGAAATGAGGAGAGAATGCCCTTAGTGGGATGATGTGTCCCCACCTGAGCCAAGATGGAGACAAGAGCAAACTTGTGCCCGGGGCGAGGCAGTCTGCAGGACTCGGAGGGTCAAGCCTGCCCCTCAGTATCAGCTCCAGTCTGTTACCTGCTCTTTGTCCCCCAGACTGCAGGACTCACCCTGTAAGCATCATGGTTGTAGCTCTTTCCAGCAAGGACCTTCCTGGGCCTTAGGTTTGTAACCCAGAACTCAAGTCACACATGGCCTGAGAAACTCAGCTTCCTCCCCAGCTGGAAAAGCAGCAAGATGATCAGGAAAGATCTTCCAGCCACATGGCCTGGACAGGTGACTCCTTTCTGGAGTATTCCAGCCAGTCAATGGAGGGACGACAGCACTGGAGTATCTCCATGCTGCAGCCAATCAGGTTTCAGTGGGTCCAGGTGAGGAATCACTTGGGCTCTAGCCTTCCTGAAAAGAGAAGCCCACAGTAGGGGGTTCTAGCTTCATTTCTGGTGTTGTGATAAAATACCCAGATAAGAAGCCAGCTTCAAACAACTGCTTACCTCACGTCCACAGTCAAGAGCAGAGAGAAATGCATGGATGCTACTTGCTCCATTCAGCTGGGTTTCTCTACTTTCATATAGTTCAGGATCCTCTGTCTAGGGAATGGTGCTGCCGGCAGTGGACAGTCCAGGCTAGGAGTGGTGGCACACACCTTTAATTCCAGCACTTGGGAGGTAGAATCAGACAGAGCTCAGTGAGTTCAAGGTCAGTCTGGGCTGTGTTCAGAGATGCTGTCTCAAGAAAAGAAAAAACTCTAAAGGAAAAAAATCCCCCACGGACACACCTATGGGCCAACCAATTGTCTTAAGTGTCTATTGCTGTGATGAAACACCATGACCAAAAGCTACTTCGGGAGGAAAGGGTTTATTTCGGCTTACAGTTCCACATTACAGCCCATCTCTGAGGGAAGCCAGGGCAGGAACCTGGAGGCAGAGACTGCAGCAGAGGCCATGGAGGGTGCTGCTTGCAGGCCTGCTCCTGACTTGCTCAGCCTGCTTTCTTACAGAACCCAGAACCCCTAGTCCAGAGATGGCCCCGCCCACAGTGGCCCCTTCCACCTCAATCATTAGTCACAAAAATGGTCAACAGACTTGCCCACAGGCACGGCTTATGGAGGCATTTTCTCAATTGAGAGCCCCTTCCCAAATGACTTGTGTGTGTCAAGCTGACGTAAATTAAACAGCGCGCCTCCAATGACCCACTTCCTCGTGTTTCCCCATCCCCAGCATCCCACAGAGCTAAGGATCCCTCGCATGGATTAACCCTTTATTAAGGTCACAGCCCCCATGATCCAGTAACCACTCAGGGACTCCATCTCTGAACACTGTTGCCGCACTGGGGACTAAGCCTCCAACACAGGAGCTTTTCTTGTGGGGACACTTCTAATCCCAGTGTGACAGTTTGTGTATGACAGTGGGTGCCTGAATGCTTTCATGTCTCCACTCCGGTGAACAGCCTGCCGTGGCCGTGGTCTGCCTACAAGCTGCTGCAGTGGCCATTTTTTCCAAGTGAGAACCTGAGCTGGGAATCCCTGTGCTTATTCAGGCAGCATCTGAAATTAACACCCACTGACCTCCCCCAGACCACCTGGGGGCAGGGCGCTGGGTATCAGGTGGAAGGTGAAGGTATTTGCCCAATAAAACCGAGTTTCCCGGGCAATCCCTCAATGTCAGCCCAGCCTCCACCAGGAAGCCAGCCTCTGCCCCCTCTTCCTCCTGCAGTTTCCTCTGAGTCCTGCAGCCTCCCCTGACAGCCCTAGGTAGCCCACCAGGACCCAGAGAGCCATCTCTGTCTTGATAAGGGAGCCACAGGCAAATTCCTGGGATGTCTCTTTCTCTTTGTTGTTTTCTAACCAGTGCCCAGGAAAAAAAGGCTGTGTCTGCAGTGGGGAGGGCACCTCGAGGTCAGGAAGAGATCTAGGCATATCCCCCAAGAAACTGCAGGGGGGAAAGCGTCGTGAGATGGCCAGGTGCAGGGTGGGCCTGCGAGGGAGCCTGGCTACACACACTGTTGGACGAAAAAGGACTCCTGAAAGCAGGCTCTGCTTCCAGAGACCCAGAGAACAGGAAGGTATGGGCCCACAGACTAAGAGCAAGATGGAGCCACTGAAGACTGTCCAGCCACAGCGGCACCTAGGCGGACATAACCCTCCAAAGTCCCGTGGCTCCGGCAGCTGCTGCTAAGGCTGAAGGCAGGAGACAGCAGATAGGAGAAGAAAGAGAGACAGGAGCCGCCTTAGGGGCTGTCACTCCAGATCCACACGGCTTGCCTGCAATCTCTCCTTGCAACTCCCGGCCTTGGCATGCCAGACACATCCAGGGCTCCTTTAGCAGCTCCCTACTGCTCCCAAGGTGAAGATACAGGGCTGTCCTGGAACCTGCATGTGCCTAAGAGGCTGAGATCTGAGTGGTGGTCAGGATGAGTGTTGGGCTACTCAGCATCAACAAAACCTTGGCAGGTGGGCCAGCAAGAAAAAGGCACTTGCTGTCAAGCATGACAACCTGAAAGAGAACAACTCGCACGGGATGTCCTCTGGTGTCCCCACACTGTGCCTGACCATATACATACACATACATATAGACATAGACATACACATACACATAGGCAAGCACAAATGTGTAGATCAATAAAGCCTCGACAAAGACATCTCCTCTCTGGGCCTCAGTTTTCATCTTCTACAAAGGGAGGTGATACCCACGCATGCCCTGCAAAGAATTGAACCCGGGTCCTTTGGAAGAACAGCCACTGCTCTTAACCACTGAGCCAACTCTCTAGCCCTGGAACCAGCTATTGTAGACCAGGCTGGTCTTGAACTCACAGAGATCCACCTGCCTCTGCCTCCCAAGTGCTGGGATTAAAGGCGTGCGCCACCACCGCCTGGCAGAAATATGATTTCTATGTTAGTCAGAAATATAGAACCCTAAATCTAAACTGTCCCAAGTCAAAAGGGGTGGACTGCCCTAGGCAAGGCTGGACCCAGGAGGACATACACGGAAGAGCGTCCATGCCATTGGCCTGCCTGGGGGCAGAGCACTGGCTCTTAAGCCTCTTTGACCACAGTGGCCAGACCAGGATGTCCTGCTCATTCCTAAAGGAAGATAGAAACCAAGAGCCAGAGCCTGGGGGCACAGGAGGATGCTGGCCTGGCAGGTCTGGAGGCCAGCACCCCCCACTGCTTTGCCCAGAGGGGAAAACTAGACATAGACCTCTTCCAGGAATCCAGCCTGAGAGGAAACAGGCAGGCACACATCCCCATAGAGCCAGGCCTGCAGGGTGTTCAGCCTTTGGCCATTCCAGGGTGGAGAGCTTCAGGAGAAGCAGGACCTTCGCAGAAGTACCAAGGGCCTGTTTGTCCCTACTGGCCACACAGCCCTGATCTGAGAAGAGAGTCTACCGTTTGTCCTGCACCCCAAGTCACATCACAGACCCTGGCTCTCTGCATGGACGGGCACTACAGCTCTTGACCAGTACCAACCAGTCAAAGCAGCTGTCCCTATGCATGTGTGCCCTGTGCATGCCACACACAGCCCATAGCAGAGGGTACTTCAGCCCTGCTTAACCACAAGGGTCAGAGAAAGGACTCTGCCAATGTCCCACGGAGAATTGGGCTGGGACCTGGGACAGGAGCCTGCTTTGACTCTGGACACAAAATGACTTCAGAGTCAGTGCTCCTGGCTTTTCCCGACTCCTTGTATGAGGTCAGGGGCAGGAGTCTGCATCTCACCAGCCTCCCAAGACTGAGCAGCCAGCTCCTGGGCAATCATTTGGTTTCTAGAACGTTGGTTCTGAAACCCAAGCAAAATGGGAGACAGTAGAGATGGTGCCATGTCCTCAGGAGCTGGCTCCTGTGGGGAAGAAATGTCAACAAACACTAGCATTTTCCTACCCTCCCCTGGGTCACCCACCCCTCTCTCCTGTCCCTGCCAAGCATGCCATAACCTCCCATGGGACAGAGGCATCTCCAGGATCCACCTTTTGTGTGACTCGTCATCTTCATGCAGAAGTGACACCCCACCTTGCTGAAGTGCGACCTGCATTTTAATGAAAGGGCGTTTGATTTCTTTGATATGTTCATTTTTTTTCTTAATCAAAGACAAACCATCATGGGGGCCAGGTCTACCATCCAGGGAATGACATCACACCAATATGGAAGACCTTCCTTTCTGCTGGGCTTTCCCAAAGAGTGTGGAAAGCGGAGCCAGAAAGATGGTTCAGGGGTTAAGAGCATTTGAAGCTCTTTCTCTCTCTCTAATAAAAATAAATCTTTTAAAAAATGACTGGGCAATGGTGGCACATACCTTTAATCCCAGCACTTTGGAGGCAGAGGCAGGTGGATCTCTGTGAGTTCAAGGCCAGCCTGGGATCCACAGTGAGTTCCAGGACAGCCAAGACCACTACATAGAAAAATCATCTGTCTTAAACAAAAACCAAGAAGCCAGAACATGAGAGGACAGAGCCCGTAGGTCCCAGGCAGAGTCAGGAGACCTGTGGAAGATTTGCCAAGCCTTGAGGCCCAGGCTTCTTGCCTCTGGGGGTGAGGAGAGCCAGGCAGCATGTCTTTGTGGATCTGCAGCCTGCAGGGCCAGAGCGGGAACACCCAACCCATCAGAGCCCAGCTTTCAACCTAACAGCTCCCGCTTGGAGGCCTCCAGCATGATCGCCTGTCTTTGCCATATCTGGGGGTGAGGCAGGTTGGAGACCGACCCTCCCCCACTTTCCTTGCACGTCAAGTTCCTGACAGCTGGGGTCTGTCTGGGAGAGTCTCCCTTACAGACTCAGCAGAAATTCACGAGGGTCTCAGTTTCCCCGGCAAGGGGTAGGAACGCTGATCCCACTCCTCATCGACTACTTCTTGCCGCCTGGCTCCCAGACAGCCCCAGGGTGGCGGGTGGCAGCATCCTTGCCCTGGGAAGTGCCTGCCCTAGTGACAAGCCAGACTGAAGCATTATACCGGACCAGATTCTGAGGGCACTGATTCCTTGTCAAGAGGACCTCCCTCGGTCACAGCTCAGTGGCCCTGCCCAGTCGTCTCCAACCTGGCAAGAGTCTTCTCACTTCCTTCTCCTGCTCCTGACCTTGCCCGCCCAGCCCGGTCTGCATGCCTGACATACACTCAGCCTCAGGCAGGCCCCGCCACCACCGCTCTGTTCCACTGGGGTCAGCTACACCCCTGTGGACCCCTCCTGCCAGCCCCATTTCAAGCCCTGCGCCCCAAAGGACCAGATGCACAGAGGACAAGCAATGCTGGAGGAGGGGGAGTCCTAGACAAGAAGTGTCTCAGAGTGACAGGGGATTCAAAGCGCCACGTGGGACACGCCCTGAGGTGGAACACTGAAAGGTTGGGGCATTCCCAGCCTCGCCCCTTAAAGGGACCGCAGCCCCAAACCCGGAGTAGTAGTAGTCGAGTTGCCCAGGATCCCCAAGTCACGAAGGTTAATTCATAGGGACTGCGGTGGTGAGCATCCCTCCCCCGCTACCCCACCCATACCGACTCCTCGGGACCTGGCCTCTCCGCCCCCAGCCCAGTCGCGACCAAGCGCCCCACCATCACCACCACGCCCATCCCAGTGGTGTAGAACTACAGCTCCCAAGTCGCTGCGCTCTGCACCCTCAGGGACTTCTGGGGACTGTAGTTCCAGGGACCGGGGCGCAGCCCGGGCTCTGTGGCTGTTTCACTGGGCAGCCTCTCCCAGCATCACTCCCCAGGGACAGGGAAAAGAAAAAGCAGCACTCAGGTTTACTGAGCACCTGCTGTGTCAGGCCAGGAGCTGCTCTCTGGAAAGAGAAGGAAAGTCTTTCTGCTAGCCAACACAGATCTGGCTTAGACAGAAGGCTTGGAACTCATGAAGGTCAGAAGACAACTCACTGGAGTTCTCTTCTTCTACCATGTGGGTTCCTGGGATGGAAGTCAGGGAGTCAGGCTCCACAGCAAAGCAATTGACTTTACCTGTTGGGTCATCTTGCCAGCCCTAAGAGTGAGTGTGAGTGTGTGTGTGTGTGTGTGTGTGTGTGTGTGTGTGTGATGTATAGTGTGGTGTGTGTGTGTGGTGTGTAGGCACAATTGCCATGGTACCACATATGAAGGCTGGAAGACACTCTCTGGAATTGGTTCTCTCCTCCTACCTTTCTGTGGGCTCCAGGGATGGAACTCTGGCCCTTAATCAATTTTGTTGGCCATCCCACAAAGTTTTACAGGTTTTGGTCCAAGGTTCTTTGGCCCTACAAGAAGGTTATACTATACGCCTTGTAACAGGCAGGAAGCAAAGAAAGAAGAAGAGGAAGAGTCCCCATAATCCCTCTCACAGACACACCCCCAGGGACCTGGACTCCCGTCCATTAGGTCTACCTCCTATAAAGGTCCCAGAACCTCCCAATAGTGCCAGGGGCGGAGATGATGCTATTGACGTGTGGAACTCTGAGAGATACTCAGAACTGTTGCAGAATAATTGTTTGACTATGTAAAATCTGTTACATTTGTTTATGCTGCATTTGTTTCACTGTGTAAAGATGTGTTGCTGTTTCACCTTGCCTGCTGAAGGCACCTGATTGGTCTAATAAAAAGCTGAACAACCAATAGTGAGGCAGAGGAGGGATAAGCAGGACTGACAGGCAAAGAAATAAGGGGAGCCGGCCAGCCAACGGGGGTCAGACAGACAGACACAGAGGAAGCAGAAAAGCAGGCTGGACAGGACGTAGGTGAGGTAAACAAGCCTTGGGGCAAAGCATAGACTAGTAGAAATGGGTTAATTTAAGTTTTAAAAAGATGAGCACAGGGGTCAAGACCATGCTGGTGAAACCCACAGAAACAGCTGATCTGAGCAAGTGGGAGCTCACAGACCCCAGTCTGACAGCTGGGGAACCAGAATAAAACCAAACCAGGCCCCCTGAACGTGGGTGTCAGTTGGGGGCCCTGGGAAGTTTATGGGGCCTCCTGCAATAAAACCAGTATTTATCTCTAGTGCACCAATGGGCTTTAGGAATCCATTCCCTATGGAGGGATACTCTCTCAGCCCAGATACATGGGGGAGGGCCTAGGTCCTGCTCCAAATGATGTGACAGACTTTTATGATCCCCCATTGGAGGCCTCACCATCCTTGAGGAGTGGATGAGGGGTGGGATGGAGGGGTGGGGAGGATGAGACGGAGAGGGAACTGAGATTGGTGTGTAAAATAAGATTTTTTAATTTAAATAAAAATTAATTTTTAAAAAGCTAGCTACAAGCCAGGTGGTGGTGGTGCATGCCTTTAATTCCAACACTTGGGAGGCAGAGGCAGGCAGATCTCTGTGAGTTCGAGACCAGCCTGGTCTACAAGAGCTAGTTCTAGGTTAGCCTCCAAAGCCACAGAGAAACCCTGTCTGAAAAAAAGAAAAAAAAACTAGCTAAAAACAAGTCTAAGCTAAGGCCGAGCATTCATGATTAATAATAAGTCTCTGTGTTGTGGTTTGGGGGCTGATGGTCCAAAAAAGCCTACTACACAGAATCCCAACTAGGGCTGAGAAGATTGTGGGTCAGTAAAGAACCTGCCAAGCGACCATGAGGATCTAAGTTTAGATCTCCAGAATCCATGTAAAAAGCCAAGTACTTTCTTCCCAAAGCAAAACGCTGCAGCAAGTGAAAGCACCTGTCGCCAAGACCTGAGTTCAGCCCTGGGGTCCACATGGTAGAAGGAGTGAACTGATTCCCGTAAGTGACCTCTGACCTCCACACGTGTTTCATGACATGCACATGTAAAAACATAATTATAAAAGTGCTAGCACACTGATGCTTGTCACTCCAGTGGGGGAAG